GATATACACATGTAACCATAAGTGGGCGTGGCTACGCCCATTTTCCAAAAATTTATAATATTCTTATTTTTCGTCTAAAAATTATTGTAAATATCAATTTTGAGTGAATTATCTTCAATAGTTACTAAAATATCGCAGTTTTCGTATTTCTGGAAATTACCGTTATATGGGAAGTGGGCGTGGTTAAAGTCCGATTTCGCCCATTTTCAATACCAACCTACCTTGGATTAAGGGAAACCTACGTACCAAATTTCGTTGAGATATCTCAATTTTTGCTCGAGTTATCGTGTACACGGACAGACGGACAGACGGACAGACGGACGGACGGACGGACAGACAGACATGGCTTAATCGATTTCTTTTTTCATCCTGATCATTTATGTATACATTTGTCTATATCTATCTCGATTCGTTTTGGCTGTTACAAACAACCGTTATGTGAACAAAATTAATATACCCTTGTGCACAAGCGCGCTCGGGTATAAAAATATTTCACATAATTTATTTATTTGCAAAAGCTGACGAGCGACGCACGCCAAAAGTTGAGAGTTGGCCATCTTTTTGCTTTGTGCTCATGAACCAAAAATACAAGATCACGTAAGAACGCGACGTTGTATTTGTAACTGGTTTTGAGAAAAAAGTTTGCGAGAGCGGGTTCGTCAGCTGAGCGTTTGTTTACATCACAAGCACTACTATTTTACACTTTTATTCAAGTAAAGAAGAGTTAATTCAACATGACAACACATTTTAAAGCATCTTGTTGCATCATTTTACCTAAATTGTGCGTTTAAAGTGGCTGACAATAATTTTGGCTATCGTTGTTTTCTCCGCTTTGTTTACTTTTCGCTCGTTTTCCAGTGAAACAAGATGGCGTAGAGCCCGCTAAAAAAAATCTACTTTTTTCACTCTCTTGTTCTTACGTGATCTTGTGTCTTTCGTTCATGCTTTGTGCTGGCGTGAGCGTTCTCGAATTTTGGCTATGTGGGCGGTTGCATTTGAATTCATGTATTCATAGTCAGCTGTTGAAGCGACGCCAACGCCAACGCAACGCTAAAGTTCTATGTGGACGGGCCTTAACATCCGTTCACGGATCGAAAACCATACGAAAAAAAATACGTGATACCGTCAGTCGAATAAGTGAATGGGGTAAAGAGTACGTTCACGTATGTCATAATCCGAAAAATATGTTTTTAAGTGACGAGTATTACGCACGTATTATTTGCAAATAACAATTTGCAAAATGGTAAAATTTGCCGTATAAACGCAGAGTTAATTTTTTACTTGTAAATAACTAAATCACGCAAATAAGTATTGATTAGTGGTACTATTTGCAAATAAGCGCAAGACGCCGCCATTCTTAGGTTTATTTTCTTTTTCGATGTTTATCTTATTTCCTTTTTATAATCAAGACGTTGACCATTTTGGTCATATTATTGCCTTTTTATAATCAGGCAATATTAAAAAAGAATTTTTCACCATCGAATAAACTTACGTATAAACGTAGTAATAGTCATCTTGTTCTAACTCGTAGAAGTAAATACGTCGTGTTTATTAAAAATGAAATTTTTGCTAAAATAAACAAAAAGTTGCTGTGATAACACACGCCAACAAGAATCGGACTATAGTTTTCCGAAGGTATTTGACGTACTGAACTCGAATCTGACCCCAGAATAGCCCAATAACGTCATGTTTTCGAGATATTCTAACCTAGAAGCACAAAAATCACGATTTTTGGGCACATTTGAGCTCCTGTAATACGATGAATTTTTTTTTTTTCAGAAAGATCTTCTCATATTTAAAAATACTACTCCTCCCCTCCAAAACTCATTTTAAATCTTTAAAAAATCTTTATTTGTCACCGAGAAGTCGTCTGTTGAATTTACTGGCCCATAGTCATAGTCTCAAGTTAAAACTCATTCTTGTTAAAATATAGTTTTAAGTTTAGAATAGAGTTTCAAGTTTTGCTAATCGTAGACATCTTAGAAACAGCTTTTTGTTAAGATGAGAGAGAACAGTGCTATCCATATGAAGAGAAAAAATTTACCCGGCAATATATAGAAATATGAGTACTTTAATTAGTTAACCTTGTGTCCGCTGCAGGATTGTGGATTTAGCAAGCCGGGAAGTCGCGGGTTCGAATCCCACTGCCAGGGAAATTTTTTTTACATCTGTTTTTGTTCTATTAAATATTACTTAAATTTTTGTAATTTAATTATAGTTGTTGTGGCCTTTTACATTAAAATTAAACTCCAAAAAAATTTGATAAATAACGAGATTTTTATATCAAATACCATAAACAAAACAAGATAATAAAACTAAATTTATTAAAATAAAATAAGATAATGTTTATGTGAAAAAAAAAAATATAAAATAAAAAAAAAATTGTTTGGAATCGCTCGGAGTGGGGACCGAACCTGGGAGCTATTGCGTTGACTACTTCAACAACAAAACAAAACTTAGAACCTTATTTTACCATTTTAAAACCGCGTTCTCCTCATTTTAAAGTTAAAATTCTGTTTTTGCCATAAAATGCATTTTAAGTTGACTATGAAAGAGTTAAAATGGTGATTACAATAAAACACAATTTTAATCATTAAAACCTTTTTCTAACTTCTCTATGACTACGGGCCACTGAGTCTAGTAAATTCGGATATTCTGAAAATGAGGAGTAGTGGATAAAACTCAGTAAATTCAACAGACGACTTCTCGGTGACAAATAAAGAATTTCGGAGGGGAGGAGTAATACTTTCAGATAATGAGATGATCTTTCTGAAAAAAATTTTTTCATCGTGTTACAGGAGCTCAAATGTGTCCAAAAACCGTGATTTTTGTACTTTTTGGTTAGAATATCTCAAAAACCTGACGTGATTGGGCTATTCTGGGGTCAGATCCGAATTCAGCACGACAAAGACCTTCGGAAAAGTATAGTCCGATTCTTGGTTAGAAAATTTAATAAAATTTTGACGGCCTGTGTAATAGGCCTATTCATACCTAGGCCTATTCAGTCCGAGCCTATTTTTCGGTGGCACAAGTTTTCGAGATTGCCACCTGGGCGGCTGGAACGCCCTAGGTTCCGGTTCTCGCTTACGCTTTAGTTGGTAAGTTTCATGTTCAAGGGACGGTCTGAAAGCACAAGTTTCTTAGCTGTCTTACTTGGGCGGCTGGAACGGCCT